ATTTTCTTCTACAATGTTAGAATTTATGTGGGACTAGGAGGTAATTAGGAGCATGCTTGGCAAAGCATTTATTAGATTATAGGATAATAAGTGGTTAAGAATAGGTAAAAACTGTGGGTGCTACAGAATGTGTGAATAATAATAGAGTTTGACGACGAGTTTATGAGCAATTATAAGCTTTGCCCAACATGCATTATATGATATGAATGCTCAAAACTGTTGCAATGTATATCATTGTGGATTTTCTATTCTAATTCAAAAATTTTAATCAATTCTGGAATATGTACGTATCTTCTGTCAAATTGCCCCATGTTCTGTTTAGGTCATACTGCAGTCACAGGTGAAAGCTTCATTAACCATCTATGATGCTTGGCTGGATCTTCAAGATGGCTTTGTGCATACTGGAAATGATGATGGAAGATCAACCTCTAACTTCTTTCCGCTTATTGTTTCCCCAAAATCAAAAGCTGGGATTCTTTTTAGTATATGTCTTGGGAATACATTAGTCGAAGGTATGCTCCATTTTGTGCTTTCTCTCTCTCTCTCTCTCTATCTGACTTCTTTTTATATTACCTCATTTGGATCTTCCTCTAAATAGATCCAAGTGGCTGCATATAAGTTGTGGCATTGACATGTATGAAGAGAACTGTCTCAAGCCTACCTATTGTGCCAAACTCTAATTGCTATGTAAACGAGGTCATACAGTAGAACTATTAGGCATATATGTAGCTGAAATTTTTTTGATAGATGTTAATTTGAAGCACGGAAAATCTGATTTCAAAGGGAGGTTGAACAGGAAACGAGCTCCTATGTGAACGACAACTGCACAAGTTGCATGTATGCTGGAGTGCATTCTATATAACAATGGTAAAAGCTTATCTAATAATAAATTACTCCACTCTCCATTATAGAAGGTTTAAAAGATTCAGAGGAATAAATTAAACCAATTCATATTGCTTTTGATATGTCCTACAGTGACACTTGTTAATACACTTAATAACAGAAAAGATATATGTCTTGGTTATGCATGACATATTCCCATTTGTCATTTTAATTTTCTTATTTACAAGGAAGAATTCAGATTCAGTGCTAGTTCTCCATTTCATCTTATGGAGAATTCCTTTGAAACCATTTGGTCAAACTTTATGATTGTTTTTTTGTTTTTGTTTTTTTTTTTTTCATTTGAGTATTAATATCTTATTTCTGCAGATGAAACAAAGGAATTGCGTCCAGATAGTATATTAAATATTCGATATGGGATTTCGGGCTGTAGAACTCTTGGAGCTCATAGCCCTGTACCTGGGGAATCCGTTGAACCTGATGATGATTCACAAAGTTTGACCTTCAGGAGTGCTATTGTTTTACAGAAACCTGTGCTCAACCCTCGCCTTGCCGTTGGTTTTCTGCCTCTCCCTTCCAGTGGTCTCCGAGTTGGGCAGCTTATGACCATGAAATGGAGGGTCGAAAGGCTAAAAGACTTGGAGGAGAATATGGCTTCTCAAGACCATGTAAACCACCAAAGATGCTGTTTCCTTTTAAAATGTTTTAGCTAAAGATTTCTTTATTCTTATTAGCAATATGGAAGGTGTAAGTTCAGCAAGTAATTATGCAAGGTTTTATTTAACTGACTCCATGGCTTCTATAACATGTAGATGAGTCTTTCATTTGTAATAAACAATCCTCCACGACCATGTAATGGCTAACCTGACATAGTTACTTCTAAGCCATATATTCACTGGACAGATACTTTGTTGCTAATATACCCAAAAAAATAATAATAATAATAATAATTGAAAAAATTGGTCAAAGGTGCATCAAGCTTCTTCAGTATGCAGCATACTAGCAAGTACCAGTTGTTTATTCTTTTCCTTTCTCGTGTAACAGGAAAAGGTACTTTATGAAATCATTGCAAATTCTGAAAACTGGATGATTGCCGGAAGGAAAAGAGGGCACGTGTCACTCTCCACAAAACCAGGTATGTTACTCTCTGTATTACTTTCCTTTTATGTGTAGTTTAAAAATGTTATTTATTAGTAACTTAAATCACTCAGCAGTATATTCTTAAACTTGTACGACTGTACTTATAAGTAGTTTTATGTTTGGTAAAATAATTCTTTACTAGTTAGAAAAGCAAATGATTGAAAAGAAAATTTTGCAATTTTGTTGTAATAAAGTTACCAAATATCAATTCTTGATCAAATATTATTGAACTTGTATTTTCAAATTGGAACATTATTAAATTTCACATTGAATATATTAATTCAACATTTTTTTAAATCTTCATTATTATTTCAAACATTTAATGAGCCAATCAAATACTATTTTCAATCCATGTTTTATTGTAACTTATATTTAAATAAACTAAAGAATAATTAAATTTTTATATTCAATGTTTTATATATTTCAGCAGTTTTTTAACTCAAAATTTTATTATTAGATGATAAATTTTTATGTTTTTAAGATTCAAGTTATTTAAACGCGGTGATAGAAAGGAGTAACCTTTCATGAAGTAGAAACTGAGCAAAGAAATACAAGTGGATAAAATCTAATGAAATACTATTATCAGCCAAATTTTTATCTATTTAATGATTTAAAATTAATTATACAATTTGTTATGTTAAGCTTTCTTATTTGAAGTACTATATTTCAGTACAGATTAAATTTGGATTTATTTAATGAAGTAATGAAGTACTAGGGTTAAGATATAGTTGTGATATTTTTAAATTAGAAATTGTATTTGAATCATCACTGGTTAAATTTATTAAAGTAAGTTATATGTAAGAAAAAGTAACTTGTAAGGTGAAACAAATGTTGGACTTCGTTTCTATACATGTGGTATGATGGATTGGATTTGGATGTTATTTTTAAACGTCAGTCCATTAAATTTTTGAGGTTAATCAGACTCACCGATTAAATTTACATTCCTACCAAAATCAGACTAGACAAATTTATCGTTCTGGAGTCCAATCCTATCTGGTAGTAGCATTCGGAACATGCTGCGAGCATCTATTTTTCAATGGCTAGTTATTGGTTTGATTTATTGTTTCTGTAGCATGGCTAAAATACCACGATGTTTCTAATAGGTTCCCGGGTAGAGATAACGATTTTATGCTTGCCACTGGTTGCTGGATATGTTCGCCCTCCACAACTGGGATTGCCAGAGGTTGATGAGGCAAATATAAGTTGCAATCCACCCGGGCCTCATTTGATTTGTGTCTTGCCTCCAACCCTCAGCTCATCTTTTTGCATACCAGCCGGACGTTAATTTGGGTTTGTAGTATTCAGTTAATTTAGTGGTCCGTCGATTGATTGAATCATGGTGCTGATTTTTCTTTCCCTGAAATTTTGTGAAATTTGTATTTTATTTTTTGATTTTGCAGGAATTTCAAAACTCAGCTCCTTTAGTGTTGAGATAAAAAGGTTGTGTAATTTCTTGTTTCATGTACAGTTGCACTTGTGAATTGTAGAATAGAACCTGAAACTGAGAAATACCTTGTATACGAGAATGAGATGAGAAACGAAATATTTTTACCGTCTCTGATTGGCTATGTTCACCATGAATGACTTGTTGTTTTTCAGCTGGTTCACTAATTTTGGTGCTAGATGTTAAGTTCCATTAAGGGTCCATTTGGTAGGATTTTTGTTTTTGTTTCTGCTTTCGTTTTTTGCAGAAAAGTTTCTTAAGAAAGCTACCTTAAGTCAGATTTATCTGGAAGTTCTTTTATCCAGACAAAGTGATCTTAGAAAATTATCAAGACATGTTCAAAAGCAGCTTTTTAGTTTTAAATGTGACTTTTAACTTTTAAGAGTCTTGTTGAATGAGTGCTGGTTTTTCTTCTCATCACCTGATTATTCCACAGTAGAATGTTGCAAAGCAGGAGCAAAATATCAGGTCAGGTGTTCAGTCTCAATTCAACCCTGTCAATTCCCCCACCTATATTGACACTTAGTTATAAAAATTCTGGGTAGGCAATCTTTTTACCTATCCATAACTTTCTATTTAAGCAATACTCAACTTTTTATAATGTGGATACGACAAGCAAATGTCGCTTGTTGAAGAGGGATAAGCTATTTGATTGTCTATTGCCTTGTCGAATCGCTACTGCTTAGAAGTGTTAGAAACTAGGTATAAACAACTCTTTATATACTAAATCCTTTAGTAGCGACGATCATGTTTTTCCTATAATTGAGACAACAAAGAGTATTTTGGAAAAGAGAAAGATAGTATAAAAGTACTTGAGCTTGCTAATTGTTGAGTACGTTATACTAAACAACACTATCGAGTCTTAAACCGCAAATATTTGAATTTAATCAACATCTTTACTCCTGGATTCGTCTACAAAATTATTGTCGCCTCAACTGCTGACTCCTACAAGAACGACACCGTACCTTGAAGTAGGGCCCATATTCCTATTTGTTCATTAAATTTAAAGCAATGTTTTGCTGTCCTTATTCAAAAGGAAATGTGAATGACAATCTTTTTATTTTTCTTACCCTAAACTTCCTTTAGGATTGACTTCTATGCTTCAACCAATTTAATTGGTAGTTTATAAAGTGCATTAGAGAGTCAAGTAGAGGTGAATGTACGTTTTTATTTTTGAGCAATTTTTAAGTAAAATTTGATTTCTTAAATTTCTAAATAAAATTTAATCTATACAAACTCGAATAACTTAAAAATTATCAACTATTTATTATTTCGAAAAATATTGAGTCAAGCTCAAGAGAGATTTGGTAAATTAGCTAACTAAAATTGTATTCAACTTAATGTTGTTAAATTCAAATGTCCATAGAAAGTTTTAAGATGGTGACTTGAAAACAACAACCTTCTTTGTCCAAATTGAGAATCAATTAGAAATTGGATCCAATTATAAGGTAAAAATCGAAAATCTAAGATCTGTGACAATAAGTTTTATTTAACTCTTTTAGTATTAGTTCGATCTTCTTAACTTTTGACCAATTCATTCTTCTGTCCATGTTCAAGTCGACTTTTGAAACATTACTAATTTTTAATATTGATATTGATATTTACAATGGTATATATTTCACTCTCATAGAAAGGATAACTGGTTCTACTTCGTATCACCAGCCCATTTTAGTTTTTCTTCTACAACTCAAAAAGACCAAAAAAAATAATAAAAATAAAAGCACAATATAAATTATAATCATATGACTTTTTCATATGATTTTATTTTTCAACAGAGATTGTTGAATCTCCAATCCAATCTGACTTCATTGGACCCCACAAAATGCTGACGTGGCTTCCGAAATGATACGATGTGGCTGCTGACCATGAACGCCGTCACGCGCCCCGACACCCTAATCTCCTCCATCTTCCATTCGTGTAGTCTCTCCACATACTCCGGCACGTACACTACGTCCCAAATCACTGCTACTCCGCCGGGTTTCAACACACGCGCCACCTCAGCCAACACGCGCATCCGCTCCGCTGCTGCTGCGGCGGATTTGGGTCCGAACTCTTTTCCTACTGTATGCACGAACGCGGCTGAAACCACCACGTCGAAGTAGTTGTCACTGAACGGAAGAGTTCTTGGGTCACCTGGCCGGCACGTGACATACTCCTGGACACCCTCGAGGGTGGCGGTTCGGAGTGTGGTGGTCGGGATGGGAAATTGATTTCCTCCGTTCTGTGTCCGGTTGAGCCCGACAACCCGGCCGGAAGAACCAGATTTCTTGAGCTGTAAAGCGACGGCATTGAGGAGGATGCCCCTGCCGCAGCCGAGGTCGAGTGCGTGCTTGACGGAGGACCAGTCAGGGATTGAGGCAACTATACGCTGAGACATTTCCCAGTGGAGGGCGACGGCGGAGTAAAAGAAATTAGCCGCGGAGAAGAAGAGACAGATGGCGGAGAGAGCTGTGACTGATCCACTAAACCCCGCCGCAAAGCGAGCTGATCCTGGGCCAGGGAGAAAGTGGTAGAAGAGATAGCAAATGGGCTCAAAGTAAAGAAGGAAGATGACTGAAAGAATCGAAAAGCCTATAGCGTTAATAAGGAGAAACAATGGCGTCTGCCAATCATCTACTCCATAGATCGCATAGATCTGCATCCAGTCCCTGCCTGTTTTTCCCATATTCTTGAAATTTGATTGCAAAAATAAAAATAAAAATTAGATCTTTAACCTTACCAGAAAGAAAGAACAGTTAATATCAAAATTTGGGATGCATTTTGTGATCCCAACAAGGGCGGGCGGGCTGGCTTTCCTGTCTTTGAACCTGAAGTTGTGTGGATTTAAATTTGATCTTTATCTGCTGAGTGAGTGAAGTACAGAACAGAAGATAACAGAAAGAAGGTATTTGTTGGCGTTTTGTGATTCTTTCTGCAGTGTAATTGTAATCTGTGTGTATTTAAGGTGTACAGATTCACTACAAAATTAGATTAAAATTTAAATAAAATTAATAACTAATTTTAATTATATTCGTGGACTATACAGTTTATTAATATCATTAATTTTTATCAAAATTTACTAAAAATATGATTTTGATCTAAACCAAACATGAGAGTTGGGTCGGGAGACCTGATAAGATCAACTGGCATTACGCCTCTAATCTTTATTAAGTATTAATTAATAAATAGTCTTTAGATTAAGTCTTTATTCAATGCTCATTGAGGTTTTTTTTTTTTTTTAAGAAAAATTTTTAGTTTACGTGTAAAATATTTATTTTAAAATAAAAAATGAATTTTTGAAAAATGATAAACAAATCGAGACAAAATTGAAAAGTCAACCCTGTTGTCTGATTGAATTGGTTTAAAATTTATATGATTTATTGGAAGTGTTAGGCCTGCATGCTACAATCTTTCATTTTATATGCCCAATATTTTTTTCCCAATTTTTTTTTTTGACAAATTGCACTAAGCTGTAAGACACGGATGAATAATTTTTTAGGAAAACTGATGGTCATATATCTCGTGCCATATTAACTATTGATAAATAAATCTGTAATTTGTGATGTACATAAAGCACAATCGAAAATTTTATTAATTTCAAAATAGCAATTACCATAACTCCCTTTTTTTTTCTTTTTTTTTTTCAGGTTTTCTTCCAATAATAATAATAATAATAAGAAAAAAAATAAGAAAAAAGAAGGACTACAATTTGGGAAATGATGTTTGGGACTACAAAAGAAGGCTGGGTCTCATTTTTCATTTGTGGGTGCCAGAGATGTAAAACGCGGGAATGGCTTAAAGCAGCCAAGTGCCGAACCCACCAACCATTTGCATAATCAATCTATTTAACAAATTTTCCTAACCATAATAATTTCTTTTCAAAATTTAACCTTAATTTGACCGAAAATCATAAATCATTTCTAGTTATCTATAGCTTACACCATTTATAAATTCTTCATAGGACTACAATTTGGGAAATGATGTTTGCGAAATTCTTCCAAAGTGCTGTACAAACATACAGTCCTCTCACAATCGTGGAGCTCACGATTATTTTAATCGTGGACCCCACCCCATATATGTGAAGGAGCTGTCAAATGTGTTGTACTTATAACACCACTCCTACAATTTTAGCTTCTAATACCTATAGAAGAACTTTATGAAAAAGCATGATCATATATATTACTTCTAAAAAATTATCCGAACATATTCGTAAGTACTTTTTTAATCACAAAATCAGCTTTAGGCTTTTTAAAATTTTGTCAAATGGTCTCTTAATGACATGAGGATTTTCTTTTTTAGATAATTAATTGCAGGACCATTGACAACCATAAAAGGGCTTTGCATTAATGAAGCTGCCTAATAAGCGTAGAAAATAATGCTTAAAAATTGACCAAAGCAACGTGCCATGGACACTAGTAGTAGTAGTAGGGCAGGCCACCCCAAGCCACATATGGTACTCTACTTTATTATAATGTAAAGTTGATTTGTAATTATTTTTGAATAATATGTGCAATAATTAGTCCTAGATCCTGCATGTTTGGCTTAGTTTCAAAAATTACTTATAAGTAACATAGTAACTATTCAAGAACTTAGAAAGACACCTCTTATAAGTTATTGAAGATGTAACCGAGTCAAAATTGAGCCAAGTCGACAAGACCTGATTTTAAGGTGGGCCGTGCCAAACCATCCCTTGGCTCGACATACCCAACAAATCTCAATACCTCTATCTCTTGTGCGATAATTTCATCAATGTATATCAAACCAAGGAGAACTTGAACTTGGAAGTTCCAGTGCAAATCTAGGCTATAAAATCACACTTTTCCCTAACATCAAGGCAGTTCAAGGGCAATGGAAACTTGATGAGAATTACTTGGTATTCTGCAAATCCAGCTATTATGATAATTTCAGGGAAGACACTTTCTGGACCATCACTCAAAGTCCAACGACTGCATTAAATTGTGTATATCACAAATGCTTGAATATTAAGTACCAGTTTGATTTAGCTAAAATAAAAATATGAATAATGCTAATTGACATTACTGATGTTATAATACTAACTTATGTTGACACTAAGGGTCCGTTTGATTGCAAAGATGAAATTGAATTGCCTAGAAAATGAATTCCAGAGAACTGAATTGCCTAAAATTGTTTTCCTGGGAATTGTAAATTATTGTGTTTGATTAGTATAATTTTCCAGGTGGAAAATGTTGAAATAAAAGTGTTTTTTAATATTCGTTTGACTTTGTTTTACATGAAAATTGTCAATTAAAGGAAAATATTTTTTTACAATAATTCTTAGAATTGGTTTCCATTACTTAAAAAAAAAAAAAAAAAAAGGAAAATTCCAAGTTTCAAAAAATCCAAGAAATGCGATTCCATGGAAAATATAAGGTATCAAACACCAAAAGTTGGAATTTCTAATTCCAATTCCATCTTTTTTTTCCATATCCATGCTATCAAACACTCCCTAAGTGTTGTTAAATGAATCGCATAATTTCACCTTTAATTAAATATATCACATAATACCACATAAACTGATGCTCTAGCACCACTATTGCTAAATATCATTATTATAAAAATTTAAGTCAAAATCAATAATTAATTTAAATCACATATTTCATCAACTTTTATCAAAATCTACTAAAAATACAATTATTAGCAAAACCAAACAAGGGCTAAACCAGTCTTCAAAACATGTGCTTAGATGCTACAAACTACCTACATAGCCAAATCCATAGATAGATATCAATTCATTGACTCTCAATTAACTGAGAACTCATCATTTAGTGAAGGTATCTACTGGGGACTTGTGATTAATTTACAAATAAATATAAAAATAGTCAAAATCTGTGTTATATACCAGATTATGTTAACATGCATAAAGACAATCAACATGAGCAGACAAGCCAGTTGCGATATGTTTTTCTTTTTCTTTTTCTTTTTTTCATCATTATATTGGAAATGAAGTTGGTTAACGACATTACCTGTTGAGCTGAACAACTTAACAACGTAGAACGAAAGGCAGCCAGATTCCAACTGGATTCCAAATTCAGAGGGAGCAAAGTGGCACTTGCAATGTATACTTAAGGACAGCATCATTGTTGAGCAACACTAGATAGTAACTACTAACCAAAGCACATATCTCGTGTTGAGAAAATGATGCCAAGAATTTTCAATTTTTTTTTTCTCATTTTAAGTAAAAATTCAAAGAGGGGATCAGAACATTGTCGTCTCAATTGTAAAAATATCAGACAAAACAGCGTAGAATTTTACAAAATGTTTTTTTATATTCGTTTTTCTTTTTTTTACATGAAAATTGTCAATTAAAGGAAAATATTTTTTTACAAAAATTCTTAGAATTGGTTTCCATTACTTAAAAAAAAAAAAAAAAAAGGAAAATTCCAAGTTTCAAGAAATCCAAGAAATGCGATTCCATGGAAAATATAAGGTATCAAACACCAAAAGTTGGAATTTCTAATTCCAATTCCATCTTTTTTTTCCATATCCATGCTATCAAACACTCCCTAAGTGTTGTTAAATGAATCGCATAATTTCACCTTTAATTAAATATATCACATAATACCACATAAACTGATGCTCTAGCACCACTATTGCTAAATATCATTATTATAAAAATTTAAGTCAAAATCAATAATTAATTTAAATCACATATTTCATCAACTTTTATCAAAATCTACTAAAAATACAATTATTAGCAAAACCAAACAAGGGCTAAACCAGTCTTCAAAACATGTGCTTAGATGCTACAAACTACCTACATAGCCAAATCCATAGATAGATATCAATTCATTGACTCTCAATTAACTGAGAACTCATCATTTAGTGAAGGTATCTACTGGGGACTTGTGATTAATTTACAAATAAATATAAAAATAGTCAAAATCTGTGTTATATACCAGATTATGTTAACATGCATAAAGACAATCAACATGAGCAGACAAGCCAGTTGCGATATGTTTTTCTTTTTCTTTTTCTTTTTTTCATCATTATATTGGAAATGAAGTTGGTTAACGACATTACCTGTTGAGCTGAACAACTTAACAACGTAGAACGAAAGGCAGCCAGATTCCAACTGGATTCCAAATTCAGAGGGAGCAAAGTGGCACTTGCAATGTATACTTAAGGACAGCATCATTGTTGAGCAACACTAGATAGTAACTACTAACCAAAGCACATATCTCGTGTTGAGAAAATGATGCCAAGAATTTTCAATTTTTTTTTTCTCATTTTAAGTAAAAATTCAAAGAGGGGATCAGAACATTGTCGTCTCAATTGTAAAAATATCAGACAAAACAGCGTAGAATTTTACAAAGATTGCATCCCTTGAGAAGATTACATTACGTAAAATCCCTACCAAGGTCACAAGGTAGGAATAAGTGTTTAGAGGGAGGGGTGCGTGTAGAAAGTTTAAATAGGCATAATCTGAAGACTACCTCTGAGTACTAGAAAATAAAGGAATTACTTGTTAGCGGAAGAAGCCTCTGTAATGACACTTATTTTAGGTCTTAGGATTAGTGAGCCAACTCCATCAAAAACTACCTTGCCTGAAATAATTGAAAGAATTATTAGCAGCAATAAAATCAATGCTACGAAGGATGACTTGCCATGCATGTTTTTTCCTTTTCTTGATCAACTTTCAATGGAGTTTTTATCAAATTGACAGTCAATATAGGGTCATCTCCACCCGTACTTGTATGCTTTGGCATCAAGAATCAGATTACTTAAATATTCCCTTTTCAGGGAATCTATTAGACTACCGAATTTGATTAATTCAACTAGGCCTATGGAACAAGAAAATATTTCCAACCAAAGAATTGCTGGATGGCAACCTAATTTTGGCTAAGTAAACCAGTGACTTCAGACAAAGGTGTAGCTAATGGTGGGAATTTGAAAGGAAAAATGTTGAACAGGCCTAACCTAGAAGCAAGTACGAAAATAGTGTCCCATTAACTGCATTAGTCCATCTGCAGGATAGTAAGGCTTATAAATTTGATGATTCCCAGCTAGCGTAAACGGCTCCAATGATTTTCTCATGCAACTTGAACCCAGAACAAGCAACTATTCCCCTATCAAGACCTTCTAGGTATATTCCTCTTGAAAAATCCAATGGTGTCCCTCCTGCATCAGTAACCACACCTCCAGCTTCTTGCACAAGGAGAACACCTGCTGCGTGATCCCATATCTTCTCCTTGTATCCAGATCTAGCAAATTTCATGTAAATCTCAGCTTCCCCTCGAGCAATGGCTGCATATTTGACCATGCTATAAACTCGCAACGGCTTCTTTCTGTATTTAAGAGTAAAAAATTGTTCTGGTATCACTCTTGAAGACATGTAAAGCAATAATGAAGCCATCTCATATTCTCCACAACCGAGAAAAAAGAAAAAAACAAACGAAAGAATAAGCAACAAAAAAAAAGAATAGCAATCTAACTCGGATTTCACATGAAACTAGAATGAAAATATTGAAATAGTAGACAATTGGACTAAGATTTTCAACCATTTGGTGGCCTTGTAGCCCATGGATGTAATCTGAGTCCGAATGCAAGGAATTGAACTATAATTTGAAATAGCATGAAATAGTGCATCACAGACCTTAGCCCTACAGTATTAGCAATACCAGCCGCAAAGGAATGGTTTGAATTGTTTTTTTCCACTGGCTCACAGAATGTTGCTAATGCAGGATCGTCAATGGAAGAAACATGTATAGTTCTTGCAGAATTTTGCCACTCGAGCCTCTTATCGCCATGAATTAAGGGCTGCATCCAAGCTTTACCACTGCCTTTCTTTGTATACATCACACAACCTTCTTCCCGTGATGACATTTCTGACATGAAAGGACATTGTTGACTATATTTGATCAGGCTATCATCCTTCACTGGGTAATTAGGGCACCCAAGTACTCCAATTGCAACTTCTCCATCATCAATCATAGCAAGTGCAATGGCATACTGATCTCCCCGCACAAAACCTAGTGTTCCATCAACAGGATCAAGGACCCAATGCCGTCCCACAGGGCCCCCAGTTGAGTCGCATCGGTTAATTGCTTCAAGGACTTGTGAAGCACCAAGTGCATCATTTGGACCCTTGAGACCAAATTTAGGCGCCTCAGCTAAGCATTCATTCACTGCATTGACCACCATTCCCAGTTGAGATGACGATTCAGGCTTGGAAAGCGTTTGAACATCTTCTTCAGCAACAATGGATATATTTTGTCCACCAAAAGCTTCTGAGAGCATCCAACTTACTGTTGCTTGCACACCCCAGTCTGTTCATGCAGAAGCATTAAAAAATAACCAAATCAGGCATGTATATCCTGCATTTATGCAGTAAAATAGCTCCATCTTTACACCTCCCAGTATGAATGTCTTCCTTTCACTTAAAGCAGGCTACTTTATTTCGTAAAATTCTACTATATTTTTAGTTTTGAAAAATAATGAGGGAGTCAAGAAATTCACATCAATTCTGCTACTCAGAAGGTCTATTTAATCAAAAAGCCAAATGGATTTGTTGAACCACTTGATAGAAAAGATTAAGCTTAGAGAGGACACACACACACACACATAGACATTTATCATTTAAACTTTATCTTCAACATGCCCCCTCATGTGTAGGTGGGATTCATTTTTAACTCGTCAAAGCCAATTTCATTAAATGGATTAACGATTGTGATAATCACATAATCAATTATTAAGGAAATTGTCCCATGCAATCAGGACAATATCGCGGAAAAAAATCTTACAATCTTTCAATATTTTTAACAGAATTGATGTCCATATGGCTTAGAGAAACAATCAGTTTGGCCCCAAAAATTTAGACAAGTTGGACAGAGGATTGTACACATCAGAAACTGGATCACAGGTTTTACTTTGGAACAATGTTTATAAACAGTGGCACCACAAAATTTAATAGATTTATGAAATGCACACGTTGCATCTCTGTCTTTAGAAGCTTTAAGAATAGATCTACTCTCTTTTGTCAACAAATATCAATTCTTGTGTGTATCTGCATACTAAGAAATCAATCAACTTTCTCGACAGATATCCAACTGACATAGTATTTGTAAATATGAGCCGAAAAAATTTAAGCAGTAAAGGAACCTGGAGTAATGATAGATTGAATGCAGTGGAGTAAAAAAAAAAAAAAATCGTGTATCCGACCTCAAAATTATTGTGAATAAGTCTAAGTTCAGTTTTGGCCTTATTGTATGAACAATTACAATAGTTTTGAGCGAATTAGAATATAGGAATTCGTCTGAAAACAAGCCCTTCATATCATGATAAATTTAAACTAATAAGAGGGTATCTAAATGGAGATTCAAGAATCAACAAATAAATCATGTTAGAAGTATTGAAGATGAAATGAAAGAAAGAAGAGACATATAAATAGTATGTCCATGGAAAAAACAATGTCAGGTTCCACAATTTACCACCCCATGTAAGTACAAGATGCGTCTTAAATACACTTGCGTGCATTTACCAATCATCTTAAGTAACTGAGCTAAGAACAAAATATTACCACAACACCTATTTAGTACTTCATAAGTATCTCCCACCCTTACATGGTTGAATAATTACATGCTACACGCATCTTTTCTTGTGTAAGTTAAACTTGATTCTAAACATTTTCCAAGATCCAATTCAACTTTGACTCTAGTAGTAAGAATCAGAATAAGCAGTAGATAGATATTCTCAATTTACTGATCCTTGTTCTTCCTGATGTAAGCAGTACTATTTGACTTCTGATGTTACTGGTTGGTAATACTTCCTCGAGCCAAGCTAAACAATACAATTACAAGTCTAGCAACTGCTATGAAGACCTTGAAAGATCCTCTCCGCAATGAATTCTATAGATATGTAAAAATGGAACTTGCAGCAATCTAATGTTGGAATAGAAAGAACACTACAAATAGAGAACCTTGTCCCCTTGATAATGTTTTTCCGGGAAAGTTAACATGCTAAATCAATGCTCTCCATTCCTGTTTTGTAAGTAATAATAATTGGAATCCTTACATTAATAGTGTTCCTTTTCCAGGTGAAAAAATATATTGCATGAAATTCACTTCCAGAGGAAGAGATACAAATAAAATTCGATCTCTTCATAATAACAGTGCAAAAGCACGAAAGAATCAAGAAAATAAACAAAAAAGGCACCAATGCTTCAAATGTGCACCAGAATTCATCAAAACCCAGAAGAAAAGCACAAATGCAAACACCCAGTCCAAGAAAAAAAGAAGAATACCGGCAACAGTAACCAGAGAATCATCATCCTTGGACTTAATCTGATTGGAATTGTTTGGGAAAAGCAATTGCTTCTGCACCTTTTGGCACAGGGAACATGCCATGTGGACGACCCTAACGGCCACATTCAACTCTTTAGTGTATTCATCATTATCGTTCTCCATTGCTCAAGCTTGAAGATTTAGGATCAAACCCAGAAAGGGAACGATAGAACGTAATCTGAGAGACCCACCACCAAATTGGGATAGATTTTACATTACATAGGCAATGGGTATGAACGCGTACAAGTAAAACAAAGATTTGAGGGTTGGGAATGCAGATTTTGTAACACCAATTATTACCGACCACTAAACATACAAGCGATAAATCATAAATCCCATAAATATAGATTTACTTTGTTTTTTCGTTATATATTACCTTTTAATTTCTTTGTATTCTAATAATAAAATTTATTTTTTAACTATATTAATTATATATATATTTTTAAGGGTAATTGATATAAAACGTCCCTACCTTTCAAGTGTATTGTGGAAAACATCTCTACTTTTCATTTTTTGGCACAAAACGTCCCTACCTTCCACTTTCTTGAAGCTGAATGTCCATTTCATCGATTTTTGACGATTTTATCCTCCATTCAAATAAAACAAAAAGAAGATAAAGAAGATAAAGGAAAAAAACAAAAAATTAATTGCAACCACATTCCCAAATTTTCTAAAAATTGCAAATGGTAACTTGATAATTACCATATTAAATAAATTGAAAAAAAAT